ATTTAACCTTTCCGAATGTCCACTTTCCGAATGAGAAATCCGAATTTTTGACTTTCCGAATACAAATAATTATTTATTTATTCGGATTCATTTCCTTGGACTACGGTATTATGTCAACTTTTGCTCCTCATATAATTTTCGCCCCATGCAACCTGACGAAACTACTGTCTGCTTATATGTCACCAAACTCGCCGAAACCTGCTCTTATCGAACGATCAAAACCTATCTTAATGGCGTCCGAATCTTGCATTTGGAAGCAGGGTTAATAAACCCACTGCCAACCATGTTCAACCTGGAACGTACTCTGCGGGGCATTAAGAGGTCAAAAGGGGACATTTCCCCTAACCGCAAACTGGCGGTGACCCCGGATATCTTAACCCGAATTATTCGTCGCCTCGATCTTTTTAACCCTGGCAATATGGCCTTCACTGCGGCCATGCTCGTCGCATTCTTCGGATTTTTTCGTAAGGCCAATGTGTGCCCGGTCCAATCTGGGACCAACCCTGTAGATGAACAATCCCCGGTTCGCCGCAGTGATTTTGAGTTTGCAGCTGACATGACCATAGTATGGGTTAACTTCCGTCGTACGAAAACAATCCAATTTGGTCAACGGACCCTCCGGATCCCTCTGCCGGCCATTCCCGGTTCTGTCTTGTGCCCGGTAAATGCACTTAGCCGCCTATTTGCGGCCGTGCCCGGTCAACCTGGCGACTTTGCCTTTTCCTTCCCGGGCGACTCTGGCCAGCCCACAACCTTTACGCATAAATCATTTGTCGGAAAATTCAAGGAGTCTCTCGCCCAAATTGGCATTGACTCCGCCCGGTATTCCGGGCATTCCTTTCGCCGGGGCGGCGCCACCTTCGCATTTCAATGCGGCGCCCCCCTGGGCCCAAATAAAAGAGCAAGGGGATTGGAAATCCTCGGCTTACCTGCTGTATCTTGAATTCGACGATCCGGCCCGTGCCCGGGTCGCCGCACTGATGGCGCACAACATCCTGCTTTCGACTTGGCGGTTCCCTGATCAGCCTCAACACTAGCACCTGCCCCGGGCCCCTGAAGACGGCGCAACCGAAGACTTGTAGCCTAGTAGTGTCACCCGGTACAGACCGCTAGCGTTAAGACCGACCGGTCCTTGGGGGGTAGGCTAGTCCTTGTGTCCTCATAGGGGGTGTCTCGAGCCTGTTCGAGCACCCCCCTGTTACGAATTCTTTAACAAGGCGGACCATGCCTATTCCCCCAAGTCGCTCGCAATATTCATAGACTATTATCGAATAGCCTGGTGCAGGTGCGATAATAGTGGTGAATAGTTCGATAAGACTTTCGAATAAATCTAATAATCCTGCGTAGCCTGTAAGTCACTAGTATAAATAGTGCATTGGCGAGCTGGAAACTTTCATTTCCAACTCGCCTCTTAGAATTCTTGCAGAAGTTCGCTTGCCCACCCGCCCTCTACCTGATAGAGTTAGGGGAAGGTCATTTTGAAGTGGTACCCCCCCTAATTATTTGTGA